TCTGGTAGGAACAAAGAAGCATGTGAATTACTTGAGTTCCTGAAAGAACACTTTGAAGGGCCTAATAAACTGATAACTGAAGCTCTAGTTGTCGTACTCTGTGAGGCTTGCCAGCTAAATGCTGCCTTGAAGGAGTACGGTAATGCTAGAGAATCTGGTTTGTTTAGCAGGAGTTCTACCATGTATGAGTCCCTTATTAGATGCTGTGAAGAAAATGGACTTCTAGCTGAAGCTTCTCAGATTTTTACCGAAATGAGATTCTGTGGTGTTGAACCTTCTGAATGTACTCTGAAATGTATGATTAGGGTATATTGTAAAATGGGCTTCCCTGAGACAGCACATTGTTTGATTAATCAAGCTGAATCAAAAGGTTTTCTTCTCGACAATCCTGTTATTTATGTCGTCGTTATTGCAGCGTATGGAAAAGTGAAGCTGTGGCAAAAAGCTGAAAGTGTGGTGGGGAATGTTAGACAGAGATCTAATGTGGATCGCAAGATCTGGAATGCCCTAATACAAGCTTATGCTGCAAGTGGTTGCTATGAACGAGCTAGAGCTGTTTTTAATACAATGATGAGAGATGGTCCTTCACCAACAGTAGAATCCATTAATGGTCTCTTGGAAGCATTAATTGTCGATGGAAGATTGACTGAGATTTATGTGGTAATCCAGGAATTGCAAGATATGGGCTTTAATATAAGCAAGAGTTCTATTCTTCTGATGCTTGATGCATTTGCTCAAGTTGGAAACCTCTTTGAGGTGAAGAAGATATACAGTGGAATGAAAGCTGCAGGGTATTTTCCTACCATGCATCTTTACAGGATTATGGTTAGACTGTTCTGCAAGGGGAAACGAGTGAGGGATGTTGAAGCCATGGTCTCTGAAATGGAAGAAGCAGGATTTAAGCCTGATCTTTCAATTTGGAATTCTATGCTAAAGTTGTACTCAGGGATTGAGGATTACAAAATGACAGCTCAAATATATCAGAAGATTATAGAAGCTGGACTTGAACCAGATGAGGACACTTACAACACTTTGATTATAATGTACTGTAGAGATCGTAGAACTGAAGAGGGATTATCTCTGATGTATGAAATGAGGAAAGCGGGATTAGAACCGAAATTAGACACCTTTAAAAGTCTGATTTCCGCATTTGGCAAGCAGCAACTGCCGGAACAAGCTGAGGCATTATTCAAAGAGTTGCTTTCTAAAGGCTACAGTTTGGACCGTTCTTTCTATCATATGATGATGAAAATATATAGAAATTCTGGAAACCATTCCAAAGCTGAAAGCCTGTTAAGTATGATGAAAGAAGCAGGAGTAGAACCCACTATTGCTACAATGCACTTGCTTATGGTTTCTTATGGAAGCTCTAGACAGCCAGAGCAAGCAGAAAACGTTCTTACTAATTTGAAAGAAATGGGATTGAATATGACTACACTACCATACAGTTCAGTCATTAATGCTTATCTTCAGAATGGGGATTATAATGTTGGAATTCAAAAGCTTATGGAGATGAAGATGGAGGGATTGGAAATAGACCACAGAATATGTACGTGCTTTATCAGGGCTGCAAGTTTGTCCCAGCACACGAGTGAAGCCATTATCCTCTTAAATGCAGTTAAAGATGTTGGATTTGATCTTCCTATCAGGTATATGGTTTTCATTTTAGGAACAAGACAATGGTCTTGAAGACAGATTTCCTTCCCCTTGGTTTCATTCCGTACAATTATTGATTATAATTGTTGTAATCTAGGCTTCTGACAGAGAAATCCAAGTTGCAATTTTCAGAGCTAGAAAGTTGTCTTGAGAAGCTAGAACCTGTAGAGGACAACGCAGCCTTTAACTTTGTCAATGCCTTGGAGGATCTATTATGGGCATTTGAGCAGCGGGCCACTGCCTCGTGGGTTTTCCAGTTGGCAGTCAAGAAGAACATTTTTCGACATGATGTTTTTAGGTATACTTACAGCGATAGGTTCATTTTCATCGCCTTTATTCCCAAGTTTTTTGAATTATATTCTATCATCAATGAAGTTCTTAAAGCTAGTCCAAGAAATGAGGGTTTTCGGAATGATTCTCGTATTTATAATATTTACTATATTTCTAATGTTATCAACTTATTGCATTCATATTTTCTTAAGCTTCTCGATTAAAGTGTAGATGATTTCTGATTATGGTAGAAATTTGATGGAATATCAAAATTTTGTTAGATCTTCAAAAGTAGCTTTAGTTAGTTTGCAGCTGCGGTTTAGCCAAATCAAGTTTTTTTCTTGCCTAATTTGGAAAATTAGTCCTTTAGGTATTAGGATATGCTTGCTGCTACGATAAAATTATGTTTGAAATTGCTGTCATTGACCCCTAGAATTTTATAAGTTCGCCCCCAGCATAAGATCATGTGTCCGTCCTTGTTAGTGTTGATCGAAAATGTTTTGCGTCAATTCAATCCATCCATATGCAAGGACTGAAACTTCATTGGAACTTTGATGCAAATTTGGATTGGGCTATTTTAAAGAGGACTATTTTAAGCATATGAATAGTCATAGATAGGAACTGAAAGCTAGACCAGACTATGATTATTATGATACTGTATTTATTTCCCTTATACTATAGCTTCTCTGGTTCAGGGTAGCTGATAAAGATTGGGGTGCTGATTTTAGAAAGTTATCTGCTGGTTCTGCTCTTGTTGCTCTCACTCTGTGGCTTGATCATATGCAGGTAAGTTCTCCGAACCTTTGTTTTAGTTTCCTTTTGACATTTTGAAAACCACCTGGTCTAGTGTAGTTACATATATGCTATACCTATTTATAATGGTATAATGTCATATTTAGTGCTTCAAAAAAAAAAGAAAAAGGAAATGAAATGAAAATGAAAATTCGTGTATGAAAAAGAAGTTGCATTATGGTACCTGTGCCTGCATCAATTCATCCTACACTTGTAACACGGTTTGTAAAATTTGTAATGCGACTGTCACCCTGTAAGATAATGATACATGTCATAGAAAAATGCCTAGTCACAAGATGAAAGCTTTTGAACGTGTACGGTAGCCGCCACATAGTGCAGATCCCCGTTTTACATGGGTGAATTGATGCACAATTAAAGCAGAGGTACTACATTGTATATTTTTATCTTCTTCAGTAAACTATATTGGATACTTTCTTGAAGTTTAACTGTTAAATGTGACATTAAGTTAAAAATGTAGAGTTTATTGATTATCAGCCTGTTCATGATTCTAGATGGTGCCATGAACAGACAACTAGGGTCGCCTTCATTTGAGTTTATTGCAGAAAGATCAAGGACATTAAGGAGATTGATTTAGTTGAATGCTTTTTGTTCTGTTTCTCGATCCCTGCTTATAATGAATGTCCTGTTCTTGGCTCGAGTTTTCAGTAATCACTGTTGTATATTTATCTTAACATTTTTTTCCATATGGAAGGATGCTTCACTACAAGGGTATCCAGAGTCTCCGAAATCAGTTGTTCTAATAACTGGGACAGCAGAGTACAACATGGTTTCCCTTAACAGCACATTGAAGGCATGCCTTTGGGAGATGGGATCCCCGTTTCTTCCTTGCAAAACACGCAGTGGCCTCCTTGTAGCGAAGGCTCACTCTCTTAGGATGTGGTTGAAGGACTCGCCGTTCTGCTTGGACCTCGAATTGAAGGATGCTCCGTTGCTCCCAGAGCTCAACTCAATGCAACTGATGGAAAGGTGTTTCATTAGACGCGGTCTTGTACCGGCATTCAAGGAAATAACCGAGAGGCTTGGATTGGTGAGGCCAAAGAAATTTGCAAGACTGGCTTTGCTATCTGATGAGAAAAGAGAGAAAGCTATTGAAGCTGATATAGAGGGAGCTAAAGAAAAGTTGGAGAAGGTGAAGTCGAAAGTTGAGTACAAAAGAGCAAGAGTGATGAGAAAGAGAAAATTTATAAAGAGACCTCTGTCCAATCATAATTAAAAAAAAATGGAGATTAGAGAAGAAAACATTGTGTAAATTTTGTATGAGCAAAGAAAATGGCAAAACTTCACTAAATTATTTTGGCAATTTTATTTATTTATTATTTTTGGAGTTTTGAAGTGAGCATTGTAAATACTTATGTCCTCAAATATTTCTTCTGTAATAAGAATTAATCTTGGAGAAATTATAGTCACTGTTAGGAGAGTTGTTAGAATCTGGAAACAGACACATACCATAGCAATTTTTTTTTTATTGCTGAAATTTTTAAAATTTCCTTGGAAATAATGTTGGTTTTTGAGAGTGATGACTAATAGTCAAAGTAGGCAAGGACTTCTTTTCAATGGAGTTGCTAAGTAGAGCTTGAATTTTGCAGTTTTTTATTGGCATAATGCCAAAATTAGTCCCCAAAGTTTACAAATAATTATTTTGCCCATATTCTATTTTTTTGGAGTATTTTGGCCTACCAACGTTTCTTTTTAGGGCAAAATAACCTCTAACATTTGACAGAATAATCTCTGTCCCTTATTTATTTTTGAGGGTATTTTAACCCTCAACAATTTTATTTTAGATTAAAAAAAACTCATATTTTGGAGTGTATCGTGTGTTATCTAATAATTTTCATATGTAAAGGAGCTTTTTGCTCTAAAGTCAAATGTTATGGGACAAAATGCTCTAAAAGAAAGAGAATATGGGCCAAAATGACCATTTTAGTAAACATTGGGGGCTATTTTTTGCATTATGCCTATTTTATTTATAGTTTCAAATTTGTATGTTGAATCACACTTGAGTGGTGAAGACATGTATTCAAATTATAGTATTTTTGTTTTTCATATAGTTGTTAAATTACAGACAATAAATGTATTCCAAAAATGTTGCAACAACAATAATATCTATCAAATTAATACTGCAAGGATAATAACATTGAATCTGGTTGTAGCTTTTTTAGTCTATGGAGACATAATTTATGAAAAATATTATGTATATATTTTTTAAAGGGAGAATGTTCTTTAAAATAGTTCAAGATGTAATGGGGCGAGCTACAACAAAATGAACAAAGAGTTGAATTCTTTAAGTGAAAAAAGAAAACCAGTGGATAAGAGGTCATCAAGGATGAAAAACCTGGAGAAAAGCTTTTTCATAGGGTGATATAAAATACAGAGCTTATTCCAAGAATACTCCATACAAAGAATGAAACATACATGGCCTTCATTCTGAAGGCTTAAGCTGATCTTCACTGTCCATCTATCGGAATTTCAACCCCCAATCGTACAAGATCTCGGCGTAGTAAATCCGAGTTCTTAAACTGAAGACCAGTAATGCCGACTCCTACAGCAGCCTCCACGTTTTTTATCCTGCGCAACATGTTAGTAAGAAAAAAAAGCCAATTATGCATGTACAAGTCTCTGAATGATGCAAAGCCTGCGATGACTGAAGATAATACAATGACCCTGGAGCACACTGGCACTTCAATCCCAAAGGGTTTCACTGATGCTCAGAATTTGAGACTATCCAATTGATGAGTGAAACCTGTAGGATGTGAAATGGTTTATCTCCCTTTGGCTAGTTAAAGGCACGCTAGGCCTTCACATGAACCCCCAATAATGTGGCACATAGAAATTAGACCACAAACAACGGTAAACATGTATTGCACGTCGATAATGTATCTTCTACTGTTATTTATTTATTTTAAATATGATTTACAAATTAGGAGAAAAGAATGATTGTGCAAAGACACCCACACAGGAAACTTACATGCATACCGTAGAGACACACGAGGGCCTGCGGTCTCCAAACAACACATGCACCCATATCAGTTCATGTCATGCATATGCATAATAAGATAGAGAATCTAGAACTGCTTATATTTAGGAGTGAGAGGTGTTGTAATTTTGATTTGAAAGCATCTTTTTTCTTTTAACACAAGGTGAAACATCTCTCTTATTAGCCCTCGAGAAACCAGGGTTTGTACCCTCTACTACTATTGCTTTTAGTTTTCGATCCGATTACAAGAGCCTCCTTATTAGAAAGTAGGCAAGGATGGTACCTGTCATCAATGAATATACAGCTTCCTGGATCAACTTGAAGATGTTCTACGACAGCCAAATAGAAATCAGGATCAGGCTTCCTCTTCCCTGGATGCACAAAAGAGAGAATCATTCACTATGGCAGAAAGAGATACATGAATACAGAAAGCAGGTAACATTCTCTAAATATACATATTTTCTGATTTGCTCAAGAACTCAATCACTGATAGTTGTACAGTGTGAAATAACATTGAAAGTTGAAACACTTATGAAGGTTGAAAAAAAAAAGCAAAATGTTATATGGATAGATGTTTTGTGCCGTTTCTCTTTGAACTCGCTTGCTTCTGGAAGCACTAATAATGAACCAGAAACAAGGAGGTTAACCATTTCTTAGGAAGTTAAGAAAAAAAATGGTATTTTTAATTTACAATTAAAACGCAAAAAAAGGCTTCCAGGCAACATTAACTGTTATTACATGTTCAATGAGGTAAACAAAATGGGAAGAGAGTGTGACCAACTGGCAAGTGGGAATTTGACATCCATATCTGGGATGCTCTTTGTGCATACGGTCATTTTCATTGCCATGAGACATTCACATGATCAACTCCCAAGTATAAAGACTCATATCAGTTAGAATGTTACAATCTTGTGTTTGGGATCAATAAATCAGCTCGTCAAAGGGAGACTGAAACCTTAGAACTTGCCGAGGGGAATTCTAGACCTTAGAATCGATAGGGAGAATCTTAAATCATGTAAAATTAAAATAAATTCTGAATTAATTTTATTGCTATCAATCAGCCTCTTTATATAGAGGTTACATAGGTTTACTTGTTTGAATAAAAGATTTAACTAAACAAGAACTCTAAATAAAGAAAGACTCCTAATGACATAAGAAACTCAAATAAGATCTCCCCATACTTCTAATAAAATAACAATAAACTGATATCCTGATATTACTAAAATAATTGACGCCAATAATGTTCCTTTCCTTCCTTGACTTCACGTATAACAGTAGAAGACAACAGAAACAGAACAAAGTGAGCCTACGTAAGGTGTAGGAAAATAAATGGAAAGAAAGGCCCATGTTTAGCACAGCACAAACTAGAAGGTACTAATCACCTTACCTTTTCTGTTGAAATAAAAACTAGCTGTAGACTCTTTTTTACGCAGAACTGTCATAATGCATAACATATCGTGCTGATAAACTACTAATCATCGAGGACTATATCAGCAATGTTAATCATTAGGAAGTTCATCATTTGCTTAGGTATTCTATCACGACTTCAGAGAAAAGGAGATTAAAGGGTGACGAAATCAGTTTTAACCCTAATGGTTTTACCCACCTTGCCTAGGAAATGGATTCCAGCTAGGTCGGTTCAATCCTTACACCTGCAAAATTCCCCTTCTAACATCACTCAGGCTATGGTCTCTTTTCTACCAAAAAATAGTGCAAGAAATCATCCTTCTTCATTATTGTTTAGAGGCTATAATGTGTAATGAGGGAATGGATTTAGGGCCAAGAAACTAAAACAAAATAGAAGTGAAATTCTCCATTCGGTTGAGACCAGAGATACTTCTGTGAGAACTATATTTTAATTGGGAAGAGATTAGGTCCTTGAACATACCATACATGCATGAACAAAATGTCCATGACAAATACTTTGAAATGTTTAACTTTTCCTCGATTATTTTGTACCTGAAGAAACACATACACGTGTAAATATTCAATTAATAAACTACTGAATCAGAAGGAACCACGAGAGCTGTTGCATCCTACCAGATGGGGTAATTTGTAAAAGCATGCATTTCATAATTGTTTTTCTTCAAGTCTTGAAGCAACTCTTCGACTCCTTCTAAGTAGGTATACCCTCTTCTCATACAATTTTTGAGGCCTGAAAAATAAGTCATTGAAATTAACACCTAAAGATAATTAGGAAGGCCAACACAAGCAGACATATTACAAATGAAATACAAAGAAGAAAACAATTTTTTGAAGATCTATTGGAATGCCACCATAGTCGCCTCTTGTATCCAAAAAGTGCAAAATGTTACTCTAAACCTGACTGGGAATATACTTGCCATAGCATATCTGATTCCATCTTCCATGTCCAACTCTCGTGCGTAAAACAAATAAAAGCATAATCCTGAGTTTTACATATAACTAGTTTCTTAACTTTTTAATTACAACAACAATTATTCATCTTGACAATTAAAAACATCATATTTAATTTGCAAATCAATATTCTCTTTCTTATGTTCTCTTAATATTATTTGTAGATATGTAGCGCAAACCACAGATCTATTAGATATATTTTCTTTATTTCAAATAATGGTGAATACGATATTCGTTAGGATCAGAACAACATTAGCATTGATCTTTCAAATTATTGGAAACTAAAAACTCGGTCACCAGTATCTGATATTTTGTACAAGTTCATCAATACTTGCTCTGTCTTTATGAATTCACTTTCTTTCCCACTCTCTCAAGATCACTTAGGAATTTAATTTCTGCTTTCATTCGATCCCATTATGATTATGCAACATATCTAACCAACATAGCCAACTAAAACTGAAAAGAGCACACAACATCATCTACTTAAAGACTGCCACTTTCTACAGTGCATGCAAGCTAAATTAATTTTGGTGCAAAAATGGCATTTTTACGATAACAAAATTGTGTGCAAACTAAATTAATTTTGGTCACTTCCTACATGATGCCCTAGGTTTCCACATGTCTTTGTGGCTGGTTATATTAAACTATATTTTTTCAAAGATTTTTTCCCTTTGCTCAGAGCTAAGAATGCTAAAAGGGCAAGCTAATTAAATGTCAATCCTAATTTCATTGGAGGAAGATTTGAAAAAATTTCAGGATGCACATGCCTATGTAACACAAACATAGGTGCAGATAAAGTTGAATAAATGCAAGCTCTCTTTAACTCTTTGTCTCACTGAGTTGAGGCATTATCCAAAAGATCAATAAAACACATATTTGAACCAATATGCAGCTTATCTATGGAAACACCACAAATCTACTCATCCATCTAGTTAGATATCCATGCATTATATCAACATAGGCAACCATATTCAATGGTCTAAAGCCTCTTTGAAGAGTATAGCAGACTCAGGACCACAAACCATGATGGTTTAGCTCTTTTGTTAACAGTCATAATATACGGCCCTAGAAATAGAATAGCCCCAAGAACTATATTTCCCATGCTTACTTTCTAGGAAACACAAACCATTTCTTCTGTACCTTCTTTAGCATCAAAACTCCCATGATTCTCTTAGCTTGGTGCCACCAAGCCATTAACTGTGAAACCGATTTCTTCTACTTTCCAGAAGATGAAACAAACTTTCTTGATTAGCACTCTTATCTCCAAAGACCACCTTGTTAATATGAGTGAATTTTTAAACCTTTTTCTTTACAGTAATTAATAAAAGTTTCTATACTTTGCAAGGTAGATTTCCTAATTAGTACAACCAAAATTAGCACCGTGGTACTGAAAGATAACAGAGAAAAGGAATCTCTATGTCAAATGAAACAAAAAGAAGAAAAACAACACGTTGAAACACATTTCTTCCCCAGTCAATTCAGAATATTTAATATCAGATTTATTTGAGAATTTATACTATCATCACATTTTGCATATGGCTATTGAAGATTCAAGCAGCCTTAAAAATGGACTGAAAGTAAAGGAAAAAAAAAACAAAAACCAACCTTGCAAATCAAAAGGCCTTCTATCTTTAAAGAATTTTGCTTCTAGCTCCTCCTGAAAGGAAATAAGATAACTTTTTCTCACACTCCAGACCAGTACGTAAACAACAAAGCAATTAAATAAGGAGAAAAGCAATGTCTTTAAAAGATGAGGTGATAGTGCAATTAAGAGATCTATAAGTAAGAAGGAATGAGTGAGGAAAGGGGGCTAGGGGGTGGGGTTTAAAAAAACACAGACTAAAGGCATGGAATTTTTACATTTTTTCAGTCCCAAATTATATTGATAAAATATGTTGCAGAAAGTACAGTGGTAAAATATAAATACAAAAGTTCCTGATAAATGAATCCTCTAATGGTATATCTCTGGTCGACTGGAAATTTACAAGTGCCAGAAGGTTTCTGTCACTGGAGCAACTATACGTCTCAATATGACAAAGGATCACGGTTATGGTTAACATTGGTATGAAACTAATAAGGTCACCAGGAAATAAAGAATACAAATAACTAATCGATGCATGTAGTGATAGTCTAAAAGCAGCAGAGTGGCTTGTCATGTTTCGGTTGTGTGCACAAGCTTCATTTATTGATACATGCAGAAAAAATTAGTTATTCAAAACCAGAAACTATTTCAGCTACTATATTCACTTATCAGAAAGCTGGCAGCGTATCAGAATAAAGTAAAAGGATTACAAAGGGCTAGTTTTTCTTTGGCCAATAAGGGCTAATCATCTTGTGTTTAGTGGCAAAACGATATTTATGATGCAACAATGATCGGCAGGAAAATCAGAACAGCTACAGTGTGTCCAAATTGGGTTTAAGATAATCAACTTGCTGTGCTTGAATATCCACTGCCAAATAAAGTTCACCCTCAAACACAGAAAAGCTAATAAAGTGCTTAAAAATTATATTTCTAGTGAAACACATGTATCATCATATGTATGTACTATAATAAATAATTGAAATATTTTTAGTGCATATGTGTATGATACAAATAAAATAACATTACATATTGTTTAAGATATTTCATCCTAATTAATTCAAGCAAGAGTTTGTAAAATGAAACTCATTCAAGCTCAGGGATTGTTTCACGCCTCTAGTACACAAAACAGCTTGAGGTCAAAGCCTTTCACCGTGGACTGTACTCGACTCAACTCAACTCGATTACATCTCTATGAACAACAATTCAAAGGAATCAACACCTGAAATAGTTTTAATTGCTTTGAAATGGCAATCAATCCTAAAAATTGACAAGTGAAATTATTTCAATCTTGTAAGATACCTCAATCAAGCAGTTTAAAAGATCTTCCAACACTATACTCATAAGACTATTTTACTCAAATCTAGGTGTGTACCTCATCAATCACCCCATTTTCAAATTCCATCCATGCAGTTGGATGCTTGCATTCGATTAGTTCCTTCAAAGACATTCTGACCATCGAATTAATATTTGATTTTAAATGGAAAACAATACTAAAGACCCCAAACAAACACAGTGTGAAATAAGAATTAAAAGAGAGAGAGAGAGAGAGTTACCCGAAGAAGGCAGGGACATCATGGTAAAAAGGGTCGCGAACGATGGTGTCCATGATGTCAAACAACAAAATGGGAAGCTTCCTGTTGTTTAAGAAAGGTGTTGTGTTGATGGGATTGAATGCCATCCTGGTCCTGGAATTCCCAGAAAATAGTTTTGGATGAAACCAGATTGTTGATGCTGGTGGTGCTCTGACCAGTTGAGCCATCCAGTAGCTGTTTTTCAACCAGAAATGGGCGAGAAAGAATCTTTGTTTTCAGATTCCCCTTAGCAGGAAAGGAGGGAGGATCAATGATGGGCTTTGGGTTTGCCTCTCCATATCTGGGCTTACAATTTGTTTGATTCATGTTTGTGGACACTCCTAATGTCTGGGCTTACAATTTGTTTGATTCATGCTTGTGGATATTCCTAATGTCTGGGCTTACAATTTGTTTGATTCATGTTTGTGGATATTCCTAATGTCTGGGCTTACAATTTGTTTGATTCATGCTTGTGGATACTCCTAAAAAATATGCATACGTTCATCTTAACAAAGGAAAAAGGTCAAATTTGACCAAATATCCTATAGATAAAATTAAACTTTCGTTAGGACAATTATTGTTATATTTTGAAGCTTTGAGTTTAAACATTACATGTGTAAAGGTAGACAGTGGTAGGATCACTGGGGGTGGGAAGGAACACTCCAACTTTTATGGTTTAATTGTATTTTAAGCCTTTGAAATTTCGAAATCAATAAAATTAAGTTCTGACCCTCTTAAAATTTTCTAGTTTAATTATTTATAAGACATTATTAATTTTAAAGTTAAATAAAGTTAAGTTTTGCCTCTAATTTTTTTTTGATTTAATGACTTTTTAGGACATGGTAAATTTGAAATTAGTGAAATTAAGCTCCAATTCTCCATTTTGCGGTTTAATTACCTTTTAAAACCTTTTTAGTTTCAAAAAATAAGCAACTTGGTCCCTCCCATAATTTCATCATAGTCCACCCTTAAAGGTGTGAATATTTATTGTCAAACTTAAATAAATATTCTCTTATATTCACTCCAAATTTATCAAAATAATAATAATAATAATAGTAATCAAACTATTAATAAATGTCAAGTCAATTAAGGACAGATTCGTTTCTCATTCTAAGGATTTATAAAATCTTAATAACAGTATTTGTATTCTTATTTCTACGGGAACAAAAATTAATTTAACCCTTATTTTCACTTTTCTTATAGTTTTTTTTTATATATTTTTCATAATTTTTTTTTTACATTTTCATGTTCAAATAATAATTGCAATAAATAAATTTAAGTTTTCTTTATCATAATATAATACCAATATCCACTATTTTCAAACTTTTTACTTTCATCGTCATCTATAGGGATGACAAACGGGCAGGTCGAGTGCGGATACCCCTCCTCTATCCCTATATCCACTTAATATTTTTAAATCCACCACCCGCCCACCACCCATGGTGGGTAAAATTTTTCAAATTCACATCCGCCTATGCGAGTACATTCTCAAATCCATCCCTACACCCACTACCCAATTGGAGATGTACCCGGCTAGACCCGTCTGACAGCAACCTTAAGTTATACATAAGCAACAAGCATAAAACAAACACGTCCATTAAGAAACATAATATTAGTCTCTAAAATTATATCTAATATTTGGTTAAATTATAAGTTATATCTTATACAATATTAAGATTTATAAATTAGTCTCTAAAATTATACCTAAATTCATAATGATCCAAAATTTAATGGGTATTTAGTGGGCGGGCGGATGTGGGGTGGGTAAGGTCTCAAACCATCACCCGCCCACTATCCGCGACGGGTACCACTTTCTAAATCCACACCCGCCTACTACCAACTAAAGTTATACCTATCCCCACCCTAATTGGAGCGGGTATGGGGTGGAATCCACGAAATTGTACCCATTTGTCATCCCTAATCATCTACTATCATTTGAGAGAGTATATAACTATATTTCTTTCTTGTTGTAGATCGCCCCTAGCATGATTAAGTTTCTCGATTAAAAATTGCTAGCTCGATCAATTAATGGAAAATTGTCAAGAGAAAAAATTGGCTTTTGAGAAATTTGACGAAAATTTGAACAAAAATTAAAACTTCTAGCATAAACGTTTTAGAGTAATTCAACTTTATCAACTAAAATATACACCCACTACTTTAGTTTTCTATGATTTCTCAATTCACTAACTTGAATTGAATCTTTTAAAGACAATATTTAACAATTACAACACTATCTTTTCAAAGTTTATATAGAAACCTCCCCCTATCTTTTACAATGGTTATGGTAGAATCACTCTAATTTTTCTAAATCAATATTGTAACCTCTCCTTTTTACAAAGTTTGATTTTGTGGTATCAACCACTTGAAAAGTTTGATTTTATGTTAGTTATTTATTTTATTAATGATGTTAACCCTATAATTTTATTTGTGCCTATCTCGTATGAATTTCTTTTATTATTAATATATATATACATATTCTAAAAAATATATCTGAATCCATATTATTAACGTGAGAGGGTACAAAATTCGGTGAAGTGCAGCATATACCAAATGTTGGTTTGACTTTCACAGCCGAATGGATCTCACTTATTCTAATTTAAATGTAAATGAAACCTATGAAAATGTTAAATGATAGGTGATGAATCATCAGATGGTCATCTCATATTCTCATTTTGATAGAACCAAGGTTCATAACACTTCATTGATAGTGGGATGAAAAAGCTATCCCACTATTTAAAGTACTTCTGCAGGACCCCATTAATCTCATTGATAAAACAATTGTTATTATTATTTGAAGTTTCGGATTTAAGTACTATTAATGTTAAGGTACAAATATTTAATGTTAAAGAATCGAGAATTATCTTTAAATAAATACTACTTTATACTTACGTCTGATTAAAAAAAAAATTCTTTGATTCGTTTGATTGAGTCATCAGATGGTCTAAATTTTGGAGAAGTGTAGTAAATACCACTTCTTGGTTTCACTTTAACAACTGAATGAACAAGATATGATGGAACCAAGATGTACTCAAGGGACAGGTATAAATAGTTGTCACTGAAAACTTTAATTCTCATCTATTTTAGATTATATTATTTGTATTTTTTATTGATAATTTGTTTTCATCTCTTAAAATTTTATAAATTCGTCCTTAACGTGAAATTTTGTATATGTTCCTAATCATAACTGATGAAGCATATGGAATTAGGGTTCGACTGAATAACACGTTTTGGTTCATTGCTACACAGAAACTAGAGAGGATTTTTCAGATTTGACAAAGATAAAAACATACATTAGCTAAAGATAGGGACATAATTAGTGGAGATGATGAGTGTGTGGTGTAGCAGCACATGACTATCCATCACAATTGAATTAAAGTAATAGCCAAGTCTACCAAATCTAAGTGTGATAAGATTCGGTTCAGATTAATTTAAAAAAATATTGAAATAAAAATTGAAAGAACAAAAAAATTTAATAGCCAACAGTAAGATTTTATGTTAGATTATATAAATTTTCAAGATATTTTATTAAAAAATTAAGAGTAGAAATATAAACTTTAAAGAGTATAAATTAAATCATTGATAAAAATATATAAAAAATGCTTAAATTATATGATAATTTAAAATCTTTAACGGTGTATGTTGAGTTAATCGATTGACGAAATCGGCCAAGAGGGAGGTGAATTGGTAATTAAAAATTTGGTGGAAGCTTTTGCAGAAAATTGAAAGTAATTGCACAGCGATTTAGAGTGGTTCGACTTTCTCAACCAAAGTCTACGTCCACTAGCTTAGCTATCCACACTAAGGATTTTCCACAAATTCACTAATTTGTCTTTCTTTTGTGGACAATGAGTAACCTTACAAACCCTAAAAAATTATACCCCAAATTCTTGAGAACTCTCTCTCCCAAAGAGAACAATACAAATTTGCAAACTTACAAGGAAATCCTCATAAGATAGAATGTTTGCACAATTCTAGAACAAAGAAAGAACACTCAAGAATAAATATAATTGAGAACAATAAGTGTTCTTGAAAGCAAAATGAATATTGAATGAAAATTAGGCTTGAAATGCTCAAACTTGAGGTTTGATGCTTTCTCTTTGATTCTCTCTTGATTCTAGTTGCTTGATGTTTCTTGTTATTGATCAATGGCTTATAAGCTTGTTTAAATACAACTTGAATCAATTCTAAATGTTGGGGATCATTAATGAAGTTATTGGAGCCGTTTAAGTGTGAAAACAATTAATATTTCTGCTTGGAGCGTGGGGGGAATCGGTATCCCCTCATGGGGAGTCGGTTCCCTAAGTGTAAAATTCAAATATTTTGACCGTTGATCAGGGGGAATCGGTACCCCCTTGGGGGGAATCGGTTCCCTCCGAGCATACTGGAATTTCTCGGAGCCAAACCATTCAGGGGGAATCGGTACCCCATTGGGGGGAATCAGTTCCCTCTGGACATACTGAAATTTTTAGCTTTGAAATGGTTCGAAATACTTTGTAAAATTATTTTGAAATTATTTTAAGATTAAAACTTAATTTTACACTTGAGTAAGGATTAAAAATGACTTTTGAAAGATTTGGAGTAATATTTTGATATTCGAATAATTATATCGAATATATTTAGAAAATCTTTAGGAAAATCTTAAAATTCATTTATCTTAATTTGTTATATCGAAATATCAAAATGTATTCAACAATCTCCCCTTTTTGATATAACAAAACATTTTGGTAATTTTAAGATTTTGAAATCAAGTTTTGAAATTACTCCCCCTTACTCTAACACTACTCCTCTTTAAAACGCTTTTAACATTTCTCCCCCTTTTTGTTAAATCAAAAAGACTTTTAAAAGATATTAAATAAGGTTTTGAAATCATTCAACCAACTGATTATATATAGATAAATAGCTTAAGCTGCTAATCAAGAGAAATGTTAGCCATTAGTTTTGTAATCATTATTCATAAACAATGTGACATGGCAAAATTGGTCATATATCTAATTGATGTAAATGATGCAATAATGAATAAATTTATCCAAACCAAATATATAGAAATATAAGTTCCAACATCCATAGTTCATCAAATTAGTTCAAATATCCAACAATCAAAGTAAAAACAATCCAAAAAAAATTCAAAATGTTGAAACAATAAGCTTTAAGTTCAAAGTACTAAAGCATAACACAGAATCAAGCATCCGTAGGACGATCGGGAGGAGGAAAATGAGCTCGCATAGCGGCCATCTCAT